AAATAGTTTTCATCCTCATTGGGTTGAATCTGTGAATGTGGAATCTGCAGTTGCAGAATCCAAGGTTGTGGAGGGTTGACTATACATGTCAGATTCTAGGCCTTGATCAGATGCTGCCTGAGGTGAGTTCAGATTCCTGGTGCTTTAGTGCTAGGAGAAAGGAATTAGGTAAATTCTGCTCCTGGAAACCACAAAGGATTATCAAGAAATCTTCTGGATACAATTCTGAAAAGATAAAATATATGTACTCTATATAAATGTTTTTAATGAAAATAGCCTTAATTCTTTTTTACATGTAAAAATACTAAATGTTCATTGCAGAGGATCATAAAGAGCCTCATCCTGTTTAAGTTATTTAATTAATGAAAGAATACTTCAAGTATCTAGGAAGGGAAACAAGCCAAATTCCCCAAACAGGAATGGACAGCAGGTAAACTGGATTGCCTTGGTCTTCTCTTCAATGACAGAAACCAATGGAACAAGTTAAACAGAGTTCTGAGGGAAAGTTTTAGAACATTCATTACACCAGCAAGGGTATCATTTAAATATAAAGGCCACACCATCATCAAAAATCTGCAAATAATAAATGTTGGAGAGAGTTGCAGAGAAAGGAATTCTCACACACTGTTGTTGGCAATGTGAATTGGTGCAGGTACTATGGAGAACAGTGTGGTTGTTCCTTAAAAATCTAAAAATACTATATGATCCAGCAATCCCATTCCTGAGCATATATCCAGAAAAGATGAAAACTCTAATTTGAAAAGATACATGCACCCCAGGGTTTATTGCAGCACAATTTACAATAGCCAAGACATGGAAGCAACCTAAATGTCCTTTGACAGATGAATGAATGAAGAACACATGTACATACACACAATGGAATACCACTCAGCCGTAAGAAAGAATGAAATAATGCCTTTTGCAGCCACATGGATGGACCTAGAGATTATCACAGTAAGTGAAGTAAGACAGAGAAAGACAAACATTCTATGATATCACTTACATGTGGAATCTAAAATATATGATACTAATGAACCTATATACAAAATAGAAACAGACTCACAGACATAGAAAACAAACTTAAAGTTACCAAAAGAGAAAGGTGGGGGAAAGGCAGGGAAGAAGATAAATTAGAAGTATGAAGTTAATAGTTATGTATTACTATTTATAGAATAGATAAACAGAAGTCACCTCCTATATAGCATAGGGAACTATATTCAGTATCTTGTAATAACCTGTAATGGAAAAGAATCTGCAAAATAATATACAGGTAGATGTATAACTAAATCACTTTGCTGTATGCCTGAAACTGACACAACATGGTAGATCAACTGTGCTTCAATAAAAAAAAATAATTTAAAATATGAAGGCTATAGGTAGGTGACCTCAAATATGAAAGAACTCAGGAAATACTGATGCCCTCCTTTCTGAGCCATTTTGGTAAAAGATCATGAATTGATGAAACCCAGCCAACCAAGAAATGAGCCAGAATACAAATGTTAGGGATGGGAAAGCTATGGTAACAGGACTGGTAGTGAGCATCGAATCCATTTTAATAGAGTTAAGACTAAACAACTAGGGGAATTATGATTGGAGAACAGTGTGTTATAGACTCAAATGAAGTAAAAGTAATGTAAAATTATTGAGGAGGAGATGGAGGTATGATGGTGCTAATTCTTTCACCACTGGCTGTCAAGTGTTTGAAACTAAGACTGAAATAGGTCATTAAAACATTTTAATGTCTCAGCCCCCTTAATTATTTTCATAAACTCCTTTTTAACTTTGGAAGGGTCTTTTAGGAGTTAATTTTTCCTGTGCTAGAGAAACAATCATTTGAAATTCAGCAATTCCTTCAGCTTCCTTTCAGTTTCCTTTTCTTCTGTGAAATTTAGCTAAAATTAGGCTTAATACTTTATTTTCATATTATGTTATTTATTTTTAAAATTGTTGCTGTGCTGGGTCTTTGTGGTGGTGCATGGGCATTTTACCAGTTGCAGCGTGCAAGGGCGTCTCCTGTGGTGGAACACCGGCTCTAGCGCACGCAGGCTCAGTAGTGATGGTCTGCAGCCTCTCTAGTTGAGGTGCGAGGGCTCTGTAGTCGCTGCATATGGGCTCAGTTGCCCCATGGCATGCGGGATCTTAGTTCCCTGAGCAGGGATTGTACTCATATCCCCTCATATTGTACTCATTGGAAGGCAAATTCTTAAGCACTGGACCACCACGGAAGTCTCAGTACTTTATTTTTAAATAGTGTATAGAATATAGCTTTTAGAATTGATGCTTTTGAACTATGGTGTTGGAGAAGACTCTTAAGAGTCCCTTGGACTACAAGGAGATCCAACCAGTCAATCCTAAAGGAAATCAGTCCTGAATATTCATTGGAAGGATTGATGTTGAAGCTGAAACTCGAATACTTTGGGCGCCTGATAAGAACTGACTCATTGGAAAAGACCCTGATGCTGGGAAAGATTGAAGGCAGGAGGAGAAGGGGATGGCAGAGGATGAGATGGATGGCATCACTCAATGGACTCAATGGACATGAGTTTGAGTAAGCTCTGGGAGTTGGTGATGGACAGGGAAGCCTGGTGTGCTGCAGTCCATGGGGTTGCAAAGAGTTGGACACGACTGAGCAACTGAACTGAACTGATAGAATACAGTCTCATTCTTTTAAAATTACTCATGCCTATCTTTTCATCCATCCTGCCTGCATATCTGTGTAAAGGAATGCCCATTACAATCATCACTGGATGTTAATACTAATTATTTTTAGTTGGTGGAATTTTGGACAGTTTGTCATTTTCTTCTTTGTATTTTTCTTTTAGCTTATTTTTGAACAATGAGCATGTATCATTTTAATAAAGTAGATAAGGTTATTATTTAGAAAAGACAGATGAGAGTGGGAGAAACTATATAACATGTAAGAATGAAAATTGATATGCATAATATATGAAGAACTTCTACAAAATAATAGGAAAAAGGTAAAATGTTCAGTTAAAAAATTGGGGTGATATGCCTATGTAACTCATAAAATAACATATAGAAGTAAATATATAAAATGCATAATCACACTGAAATCAAGAAAAAGTAAATTTAAATGAGAGCTTTTTTTAAAACCTCTCTTACTAAAGACTAGTGAGGACTGATAATATACAGTGTTGGGGAGGGTTTCTGGGAATGGGAACTCTTGCACATTTTTGCTGCTGCTGCTGCTAAGTCTTCAGTCGTGCGTGACTCTGTGCGACCCCACAGACGGCAGCCCACCAGGCTCCGCTGTCCCTGGGATTCTCCAGGCAAGAACACTGGGGTGGGTTGCCATTTCCTTCTCCAATGCATGAAAGTGAAAAGTGAAAGTGAAGTTGCTCAGTCGTGTCTGACTCTTCTCCACCCCATGGACTGCAGCCTACCAGGCTTCTCCGTCTATGGGGTTTTCCAGGCAAGAGTACTGGGGTGGGTTGCCATTGCCTTCTCTGTGCACACTTTTGGTGAAAATATAAATTGAGAAGGCTCTTTTGGAGGGCAATTCGACAGTGTTTTCCAATATTTAAAAGATATATTCTTCTGACCTAGTAAATCCACTTTCTCAGAAGTCCTAGCTTAGATCGAGAAACATTCTCAGAGATGCCCATGAATATCTGCCTGAGGATGTTCATTTAACTCTTCTTGGCAGTAGTGAAAAACAAAGCAATTAGGGTGATCCTGAACTGTGGAAAACTCCTAATTATGAACATGGTAGTCAGCATGTACTGATAAAGAAAGATCTATATGACAGATCTATTACTAGGTGAAAAACAGAACAGCAAGTAATAGAATGATCTCAGTTATGTAACTATAAAAAGTTGTGTATTTGTGAGATATGACTATGGAAATGCAGAGAAAGGACTGGGAGGATATATACCAGTCTTAGCAGTGGCTCCTCCCAGGGAGGACGTGGGGTTGGGGGAGAGCGTGAAGGGAGATGTTTGTGTTTTATTTCATATGACTTTGTGTTGTTTCAATCTTTTGCCGTGAGAATGTATTCATATTATACTTTAAAAAATTTTTTTAACTGGGGTGTATGAACCTAAAGGCCCATAACTTGATAGTAGGATTTAGATGAAACTGGGGCTGGGACACAAAGTAGAAATGGTGACAGAGGCCGTGGGGAGCAGGAAAGGGGGAAAGGGGATATTTTGTGCTTTAGACAGACCCATTACACTGCACCAAGTAACAATGTTCCTGTGAGACATGCTGACTTCAGGGTTTCTATGGTGAAATTCTCATCTCTTTGGTACAGTTTAGCTACATATTTGAATTGATCGTGAACAGAGAACTCTAAGGGCTTCTCTTGTGGCTCAGCTGGTAAAGAATCTGCCCACAGTGCGGGAGACCTGGGTTCGATTCCTGGGTTGGGAAGATCCCCTGGAGAAGGGAAAGGCTGCCTACTTCAGTATTCTGGCCTAGAGAATTCCATGGACTGTACAGCCCGTGGGGCCACAAAGAGTCGGACACAACTGAGTAACTTTCACAACATAAGATGTCCTTCAAATAGGTGAACAAATAAACAAACTGTAGTACAGCCACACAATGGAATATCATTCATCAGTGAGAAGAAATGGGCTCTCCAGCCACAAAAGGACATGGAGAATCTTAAAAGCATATTGCTAAATGAAAGAAGTCAGTCTGAAAAAGCTACATACCATATGATTCCAACTACGTGACATTCTGGAAAAAGCACAACTATGGAGACAATAAAAAGGAAAACTCTATGGGGCTTCCCTGGTGTCTCAGTCAGTAAAGAATCTGCCTGCAATGCAGGAGGCCTCTTAGGTTGGTAAAAGGATGCTCGTAGAGAAGATGGGAGGGCTGGGCCTAAGGAGTGCAGCATTTGATGGAAATATCTTTTACTCCACTTGTAAGTTTCTATGTAAAAGGTGCAGTTTGCCTTCAAGGGAGGTGCCATGTGTCATAAATAAGAATCAGCCCTGAGGAGGACTCAGAACTCTCTCTCCTGTTCCCCTTAGGGCATCAATTGAAGAGAGATATGGCAAAGATCTGCTCAGCCTCGCTAGGAAGAAGCCATGTGGACAGTCTGAGACCAAGTAGGTGCCACGTTTCTTTCTGGTTTCTAGGTTGTCTGATACCTCTCAGGAGCCCCTGTCATTTCATCAGACAGACCTGGGCAGCAGGGTGAAATGTGTTGGGTGAAAAAAATGTTTAGTTTTTTCCTTATTTCCAGTTGTGAAAAATAGAAATACAGAAAGAAATCTAAAATGAACTATGAAGCCATAAGTCATTATTAATATTTTCTAAATTTTCCTTGAAGTCCTTTTCTGTGTATACTTTTTATAGGTAGAATTATGCATAATTTTATGCTATAAATTCAGTACAGTGTATTATTGTTTTATATATATATTTGTATATGTGTATGCTGCTGCTGCTGCTGCTGCTGCTGCTGCTGCTGCTGCTGCTGCTAAATTGCTTCAGTCGTGTTCCACCCTGTGTGACCCCATAGACGGCAGCCCACCAGGCTCCACCGTCCTTGGGATTCTCCAGGCAAGAACACTGGAGTGAGTTGCCATTTCCTTCTCCAATGCATGAAAGTGAAAAGTGAGAGTGAAGTCGCTCAGTCGTGTCCGACTCTTAGCGACCCCATGGAATGCAGCCTACCAGGCTCCTCTGTCTGTGGGATTTTCCAGGCAAGAGTACTGGAGTGGGTTGCCATTGCTTTCTCTGGTATATGTGTATATATTATATGAAACACATAGTTTGTAATAGTTATGAGAGACTGTCTTTGCATCATTTCATAGTTCTCACCATTGATGGAAGGATTCTGTACCTCAATTATTCATTCTTCCATCATTCATTGAACACTCTGAGGATACAGAGATGTTCAGACATGGTGCCTACTTTGGGAACACAGTTCCTCACATGCAAGGCTGACTTGGGCAATCATATGGGATCGCAAATGTAGATAGGCTCCAGGACTGGTTTAATACTCTTTGTGCTGATATGTGCCCTGTCACCAGTCATGTCTGACTCTGTGCGACCCCATGGACTGTAGCCTGCCGGGCTCCTCTGTCCGTGGGATTCTCCAGGCAAGAATACTGGAGTAGGTAGCCTTTTTCTTCTCCAGGGGATCCTCCCAACTCAGGGATCGAACCCGCATCTCTTGTGTTTCCTTCATTACCAGGCGGATTCTTACCCTTTGCTGTCACTATTTGAAATTCGTAGTGATTTATAAACAAAGAGTGGCACATTTTTGTTTTGCAGTGGGCCTCACAAATTATGTAGCCAGTCCTATGCACATGGAAATGTCTAGATTCCTTCCGTAACATAGCATACTGAGGGAGACTTGGGGGAAATAGTTTAGGCAGACCTTTGCAGATCTCTGCAGATGTGATCGTACCTCATGATGTCGTGCACACTGCATTGTGCTGTAGACAGCGGCAGACCTGCCCTGAGGTCTGTGTCCACTCAGAGGCAGTAGTGGGGGCAGACAAGACATTGCCCTTCCCTTTCTCTTCCTTTGATCCTAAGACACATATACCCACACCCACACACCACTCATTCCAGATCGCAAAGTACTGAATTACTGAGGAGGAGGAAAATGTGGGGGATATTTGAAGTATTAATAGTCACATAAGCCTTAAAAAGGGGCTGCTGCATCTGTGGCTCAGTGGTAAAGAATCTGCCTGCCCATGCAGGAGACTGGTTCGATCCCTGGGTCAGGAAGATCCCCTGGAGAAGGAAAGGGCAACCCACTCCAGTATTCGTGCCTGGAGAATCCCATGGACAGAGAAGCCTGGCAAGCTACAGTCCATGGGGTCACAAAGAGTCGGACCCAACTGAGCGACTGAGCATGCTGCAAGCCTTAAAAAACATGTTACCCTCAGACATAGGACATGAGTACATGAAGAATTTATTTGTTGATTGTATTATTTATATTTCTGATGTTTTAAATGTGAAAACACACTGAAAGGTAAAAAAGGCAAACATATTGAATGGCTGTGAATCCATCACTTAAATTTAACAATTATTCATACTCATCATATTTTCTTAATGTAGTTTTTTATGAATTTAAATCTGGAGTCAACTAGATTTTACTAAGTATTTCTCCAAGTTTTCCTAGTAATTAGCCATATTTATAGATGAATCTCTGAGTTCTAGCGTTGGTCATTGTCACAGAGATGTCATTGTTTCTAGGCTCTTTTGGGGGACAGATTTTATTTTGTTTAGTATTTCTTTATTTATCTATTTGGCTATCTTGGGTTTCAGTTGCAGCCAGCGGACTTCCTAGTTGTGCTGCACGACTTAGTCGCCCCGCGGTATGTGGGATCTTCGTTCCCCAACCAGGGGTCGAACCCGTGACCCCTGCATTGCAAGACATATTCTTAACTGCTGGATCACTGGGGAAGTCCCAGGGGACAGATTTTAAAAGCTTGAGTTCATATTGATATCTCGAATTCCAATTTAATTTATAATTCGCTTCTTTTTATTTTATTTATTTTATTTTTATTTTGCTTTTTTTGTTTGTTTTTTTATTTTTTGTTTTATTTTAATTCACTTCTTTTATTTTATATTTATTTCCTCTTACATAGAAAATCTTGGTTCCTGACAATATTAGCATAATTATTGGCTTTCTATGACAATATATATTAAAATGTTTCAAAATGATATTAATACAGCTACTAACAATGAAACTTCTGAATGAAACATTTCTTCACAGTGCTTTTTGCAGTTCCTCTTGACCTTGTATACCACTAAGAATATTGTTTTCTAAGGTCACTTAAAATACTATTTTCTCTGTGTGATTATGTAAGCAGTTTCATATACAGTTAAGTTTATTTGTTTGTTTTAAATATTAAGGATTGTTTTTTTCTTGCTTGATTTAGCTTCGTGTCTTTGAATATGGAAAACATTTCTATATTCACCTGTCAGACCTACATAGTATTAGGTAAATTTCATTGTCATTCAAGGATAGTTTCTGTAGTTTCAAGGAAGATTAGTGGGTCAGTGGATCTAAAGCCTTGTTTATTCATAAAGAAAGCATAAGTCACTTGGAAAGATATCCAAAAAGTTTTTAGGTGATGTGAGGGAAAATAGCCATGTTCTCTCATATAGTATTGCTTGGAAAATAAATTTAGCAGAATGAGTCTGAAGCAAAGTGGTATTTCTTATATTCTTGAATATTTGATTTATAACTTGGTAAATTTTTCAAGAGACTCTAGCACCAATCTCTTCTATGACAAAAGCTTGTCAGTTTTCCTTCTAAGAATTTCTCAGAGAGGAAGGTGAATAGGATATGATACCTGCGGACTATGTTTCCAAGGTTGAAGTGAAAGGCTGTTCAGGTACTTCTGCTTTTGTTACCTCCAGGATGCTCTTTAGGAAGGTGCCCTCGATGAGCATGCACGACTTTGCTTGTTCAGGGCCTAGGTAGGATTTTTTTCCACCTCATCAACTACTCTGAGAGAGTATTTAATGGTGGACCTTTGTAGCTTCTGGTGGACCCTTTTAGGGTTTAAGGCCAGTGTCTGTGAGAGTGGCAGGATATTTTCTCTTCCCACAGTTAAGGAGAACACCAGTGAGGACAGGGCTGGGGTGTCGTGAGAACACCATCCCCAAGGTTCACATTCTCTCCTTGGATTGTTGTCGCCATCTAAACGCGGGGAGCAGCAGTGAAGTGATGTTGTGGGACAACAAAGCTGATGACAAAGTGGAGAGTTTGGGCTGCTCTTTTAGTGGCCTTTTAAGCAGTCACTTAGGGTGGAGGAAAAATTTTAGACTCAGAACAGACTTCATCTCTGCCACTTTCCAGCTCCACAGCTCATTATGGGGAAAGACTGCCAGTTCTATCAGAAGCTGAGACCAGCTTTCTTTCTCACTAATTCCAGTCATAAGTCTGCTCTTGAGTGAGGCTCATGCATCTTACTGGACCTGTTGTGCGTTTGTTTAGATGTGGACATTTTCTAGTGCATTTTCCTTGATAAATTGTATCATAAGGCAGGGAAAGTGTACAGAGACTGTGCAGTTAATGTTTTTATGCTTGATGTGTTGGTAATAATTGGGAATGTTAATATGAGAAAAGGCAGGGAGAAATAAGGACTCTTTGTTTGAGGATAAAAAAACAGAATGGGAAAAATGAGGTGTAGCTAAAAGAAGGGGCCAAAAAAAAAAAAGACGAGGCCAGCTGAAAGATACAAGGCTTTTTAGTCTGTAAAATAGCAGAACTTGCCACCTACACGTATATGTATAGAGTACGACCCATGATCCTACGCTGTTGTGGCTAGGGGCTGGACCGCGACTTCACTTAGTCCTGTTTCTTCCTGAGTGGCTGGAGTGATCCCAGTGAGGTCTGCATTCGTGAGGGCAGCGATGAGCAAGAGAATCCCGAGAGCCACTTCACCTCAAAAGGAAGCTTGTTAAGGAAGTGTAGGAGGGGGAGAACTAAAACCACGGGCAAGGGGAGCTGTGAGGGAGGAGGAGCCGCGGGTTATAAGGGAGAGAAGGAAGGAGATTGACAGAAGGTATGAAAAATGAGTCATGGTCTTCTCCACAGAAACTGTGAAGTAAGAACTGTGTCTTGTTTTAAGCTGCTAATTTTGTGGTAGTTTGTTCTTCAGTGAAAGAACACCATGTTCATGACTGTCTCTTCCGTTAAGACTCTTAAGTCTGTGACGATGTGTGTCATGTACCACTGAATCACCAACATCTGACACCATGCCTGGCCCATAGTTTATGTGCAGTAAACATCTGAGGACTGGAGAATGGATGAAAAAGGAGGTGATCAGGAACCATAGTTTGAATCCCTCTTTTATTGGCTTTTATCCATATTTTGGGCTGGATGAATCACAAGCTGGAATCAAGATTGCTGGGAGAAATATCAACAACCTCAGACATGCAGATGATACCATGGCAGAAAGTGAAGAGGAATTAAAGAGCCTCTTGATGAGAGTGAAAGAGGAGAGTGAAAAAACTGGCTTAAAACTCAACATTCAAAAAACTAAGACCATGGCATCTGGTCCCTTTGTGAAGTCGCTCAGTCATGTCCAACTGTTTGTGACCCCGTGTACTGTAGCCTACCAGGCTCCTCCGTCCATTGGATTTTCCAGGCAAGAGTACTGGAGTGGGTTGCCATTTCCTTCTCCAGGAGATCTTCCCGACCCAGGGATTGAACCCGGGTCTCCCTCATTGTAGGCAGACGCTTTACCATCTGAGTCACAGAAGGGGAAAAAGTGGAAGCAGTGACAGATTTTATTTCACCGTGGATGGTGACTGAGGCCATGAACTTAAAAGACGCTTGCTCCTTGGAAGGAAAGCTATGACAAACTGAGACAATGTATTTAAAAGCAGAGACATCATTCTGCCAACAAAGGTCCTCCTAATCAAAGCTATAGTTTTTCCAGTAGTCATGTATGGATGTGACCGTTGCAGCATAAAGGATGCTGAAGAATTGATGCTTTCAAACTGTGGTGCTGGAGAAGACTCTTGAGAGTCCCTTGGACTGCAAGGAGATCAAACCAGTCAATCCTAAAGGAAATCAACCCTGAATATTCATTGGAGGGACTGCTGCTGAAGCTTCAATACTTTGGCCACCTGAAGCAAAGAGCCAACTTGTTGGCAAAGACCCTAGTGCTGGGAAAGATTGAAGCAAATGGAGAAGAGGGCGACAGAGGATGAAATGGTTAGATAGCTTCACCAACTCAATGGACATGAATCTGAGCAAACTCTGGAAGATAGTGAAAGACAGGGAAGCCTGGTGTGCTGCAGCCCATGGGGTTGCAAAGAGTTGTACATGACTTAGCAACTGAACAAAAAAAACAACATCATATTTCTAATTATCATACTTTAAAGAATAACTTTTATCCTTATGAGAAATGGATCATAACTCCTATATTATCCTTGGGGAAAATGAAGCATAAAGAATTTTGGCATCTGGCTCCACCCAGGTGGACAGTAAAGCATTTATGATGCTTGAGCCTGGGACTGAGGGGTAAGAGAGAGGAAAGTAGACTGAAGAAGCCTTGATCTTTTGTTGTCTTCTCAAGCTCATGGGCAAAGATCAGATCACAGGCTATCAGTTAAGACGTGGGCTGGGAGAAACATGCAGTGGTATTATAATAAAGTTATACAGCCAATTTCCAGAACTGAAGTTACACATGCTTTTATTTTTTTTAGCACCCTGAAGCGAGCCCTTGAAGTCTTCAAGCAGCGTAAGTGATTCCTTAAAAATGCATTTGCTGTCCTTGGCAAGCTCTGTGTCTGTCATCACAGCTGCGTTTTAACTTGAACAGCTCATACTGGTTAAAAAAAAAATAGAGCAGCTGCTAAGGTGATGAATAGCCCTTCAGAGTCGAAATCAGTTGGAGAACCGTCTATACCTGCACTTCATGATGTGCATTTGACTCACTTCAGGCAGTGGTTCTCACACTGGAAATCCAGCGTGAGGCCTTGGCACTGGTCTTCAGGGGTTCCTGTCCATTTCTAGCATTTCTTGGGCCTGTGACTCAGAGTTTAAGGCCTTTAAATTTTCTGTTCTTAGTGCTTCCAAGCTAAGGACTTTAACGTGGCACAGTATGTGCTTAACATGTTTCTGTAGCTAGTTGAGTGGTGCTAGATATCTTTCCATTTCATTTCATATAGATCTGCCTCACTCTTATATTTAACATTTTTTTATTCTACAAAATGCTGCATTCCCTCTCGAAAAGTGGTAAATTTCCCCCGACCCACAGTACTGTTTCTCCCCATGCTTGCCAATACCAAGAATGTTCGAACTTTAATTCCAAACCGAAGGATAAAAAGTGATATATTTCTGGATTTTAAAAATTTTGTGTTTTTTTTTTTTTCAGTAGTTTTAAGGCTGAATATGTTTTCAAATGTTTACTGGCCATTTGGACAATCTTTTAAAAAATTTCATGCTCTTTAACCATTTTAAAACTCTGGAATAAATATATTTATTTTGATTCGAAGCTCTTTTAATATAGCTATTTACTCTGTTGAGTAAATTGCTATTTTTTTCTAGCTTTTTGTGTCTCTTCTAACCTTATTCCAAGTTATTTGACACACACAAGTTTAAAATTTTTTCTTAGGTCATATCTGTCAATCTTTCTTTTTTTTCCCCAATCTTTCTATCTTTAATGCCATCTATAATTTGTATCCTTGGAACAAGGAAAAAAAAAGTTGTTACCTTTTTTGAAAGGTAAGTCATGCTCTTTACAAAGATCTCAGAAAATAAAGGGAAAAACACCAATAATCATTCTATCCAGAGAGAAATTTCTTACAGGCTCATGAGAAATTAGAAATGGGAAGAACCTTAAAGTCATGTAATGAGAAATAGGATTGAATTTGAAATTGTAGTGGGTTTAGTAATGTGTGCTAGCATGCAAGCTCCATGAACTTCTCCCCTGCCTTGGGCATACACTAGGTTAGTGCAGCTAGTGGTGGAAAGCTGAACTAAAGGTTTGCTGGCTTGGTTGTAGTGGTTGGGGCAATGCTGGGTATGTGGAGGGGCTTAATAAATGTTGGTGACCAAGTGAAGCAGGTTAACTTTGCCACGTACCCAAGAATTCTGTATATATTTTAACCTTTTATATGGTTTCTTTGATTTGAATTCAGACATGCAGGTTTTTTTTTTTAATTCTTTTTGCAGAAGTAGACAATGTGGCACAAAATCACATTCACCTCGCACAGACTCTAAGAGAAGAAGCCAGGAAGATGGAAGAATTCAGGGAAAAGCAGAAGTTACAACGAAAAAAGGTAAGGTTTATGTGTTACATGGTTTATGTGGTTGGGTTGGATTTATGTGTTATATCTTACATGTATTAAGATGTTGCCTTTCTTCCAGCAGAAAACTCCAGGCTTGTTTTCTCACGGAACTGTTTAGCTCAGCTCCCAACCTCAAGCACACACACTCATCTTTTAACCTATGAGATTATTTATCAGGAACCATGTGGGCACTCAGTCTAGACAGGGATGCCTCTGTGCCCACTTACATGCTCGGTCAATTCTCTTTTAACTTGTTGCAAGAATCAGAGGTCCAGCTTGCTTTCCTTTTCTTTTTCTATCTGCTGCCACTGTTTAAACTGTGACAGGAAAGGGGAAGCCCTGTTTTCATAAGAGTCTAGCACATCCAAGGTGGTGGGTTTTCAGTTCACATTCCTCCTCCTGGTCAGGGCGATACGGATGGGTAAGAAATGGAGGGGACTCAGTTCTCCCTGGAGACCAGAATGCAGTCCAACCACTCTATTTTACAATTAGGGAAACAGAGGTCCTGGGAAACTCAAGTCCTTTTGGCTTCAAAGTGGATATTATACAGGCTCTTTTTCCTTGACGGGATATATTCTGGGCAATTATGTGGCAGGAGGTGGGAATGAACAAGAGTTAATAAAATTGGCAAACGTCTAGGAAGTTACAAGGGTCAAGACAAGAAGTGCAGATTTATGTTAAAGTGTTCCTTAGACTAGACCACCCTCTGTTCTGTCTCCCTTCTGTTTTGGTCCTAAAAGTTTAATTTTTTTGGCTGTGATGAGTCTTTGTTGCCGCAAGGGCTTTTCTCTAGTTGTGTTGCATGGGCTTCTCCTGGAGGTGGCTTGTCTCACGGAGCATGGGCTCTAGTGCCTGCAGGCTTCAGTAGTTACAGCTCGAGGGCTCTAGAGCGCAGGCTCAAGCTGTGGTGCATGGGCTTAGTTGCTCCAAGGCACATGGAATCTTCCCAGACCAGGTATCGAACCTGTATCCCTGCATAGGCAGGCAGATTCTTATCCACTGTGCCACCAAGGAAGTCCCCACAGAACTTTAATATCTGGTCTCCAAGGTTGGCATGAACTTCATGTGAGAGATAAACTCTTCCCTGTGTAGCATCTGAACATGTCCACCCAGGTCACTCCAGACAGCTCTGCATGGACTTGGCGATCTTTCTTCATCCTGGCCCTTTACTATCTGGAAGTCATTGTCTGCAGGGTGTGTATCCAGTTAATGGCTGGTTTTACCCATGACTCAATCCCAGCAACTTTGCCTGTGGTTCTAAATCAGAGTGTAATTCTGACCTCCCTTATGGCCTCCCTTATTTGACATTTGGAGTGGGTGGAGGCATCTTAAGAGCCTGACTGCCTTCCATACACTGTCATTTCATAAGCTGCCCTGACAGCTGTGCCTCTTCTCGGAAGGAAGGGTAGAAACTAAGAATTAAGGAACATGATGTCAGGTGTTTTCAGACAAATTCAAGGTTCATGTATCTGGTTTGAGGGGCACATCTGGCCCAAAGTATATGTGTATTACACCCATCTATCTATTGGATGGTCGGACTCTTTTTGTCTGACATTGCAAACCCTTCCTGTTCTCCAAAGGGTTTATAGTTTTTCAGCCTTTGACAGCCAGGGTCTATGCACACATGATTTCCACCAAGAGAAGAAGAGGCTTGTTTCCTCACAGTCTCAAGTGCCCTTGGTTTCAGGGAGAGTTTTGTTAATTTTGCAAGGCTTCTGAAACTTCCCTTCCTAGTATGTTACAAAGACCAAGTTCTCACAGCTGAAACTATTTTGAATTATCTTAAGCAACAGTGGAGCCTGGGCTCATTCCACTGCTGTCATCAAAGTGCCCCACGTTGTGCGCTCTCGACAGCAGGAAAACAGCTTCTGAGCTTTCTTTGCCAAGTCCAAAGTTTATTCATAAATTTAGTTACTTGTATCACAGTGAACTATGGGTTGTTCCACTTCTGTATTTAGATACTTAAAAAAAAAATAAAACTTTTGGAGAATATGTGTCAATGTTAACTTCTCATTTTCACTGGTCAAACCCTGCACACGTTGGTCTCTCACTTCTTGGAAATTAAGCCATTTCCATTTATCAAGGAAATCCATCAGTTGGTTTCTTTTAGTGAACTGGGGCAGGGGAGGTGTGGATAGAATGGCTGGTATAACTTTTCAGTGAACTAGCTTATAGAACTAGGAGAAGCCTTTTTGATCCTCAAGTGGTATAGGTGACGCTGTTGCTGCTTGTGTTGAGTCCAGAACCACAGCCGGACATGGGGCTAGAGGACGAGCAAAGGATGCTGACTGGGTCCGGAGATCCCAAGGAGGAGGAAAAAGAGGAAGAGGAATTAGTGGATCCTCTAACAACAGTGAGAGAGCAATGCGAGCAGCTGGAGAAATGTGTGAAGGCTCGGGAGCGGCTAGAGCTCTGTGATGAGTGTGTATCCTCCAGGTCACAGACAGAGGATGACTGCACAGAGGAGCTCTTTGACTTCTTACATGCAAGGGACCACTGTGTGGCCCACAAACTGTTTAACAGCTTGAAATAAGTGTGCATATTTTTTCAACCCAGCCTTCATCACCTGGGTATTGGGATATTTCCTCATGGTTTTGAACATGATGTTTATTTGTGTAACTGAGTTCACGTGAATCTCAAGGATTTTGGCTTAGGCAAGTAATTTCTGTGTAATTATCAGTGATTTCATCTTAATAAAGTCCAGTGATCAGCAAAAAAAAAAAAAAAAAAAGAACTAGGAGAAGGCAATGGTGACCCACTCCAGTACTCTTGCCTGGAAAATCCCATGGACGGAGGAGCCTGGTAGGCTGCAGTCCATGGGGTCGAGAAGAGACCGACACGACTGAGCGACTTCCCTTTCACTTTTCACCTTCATGCATTGGAGAAGGAAATGGCAACCCACTCCAGTATTCTTGTCTGGAGAATCCCAGGGACAGAGGAGCCTGGTGGGCTGCCGTCTGTGGGGTCGCACAGAGTCGGACAGGACTGATGCCACTTAGCAGCAGCAGCGGCAGCTTATAGAACTAGTTTTCTGAAGGTGGTGACAAATGTGGCCGTGGCCGTCCCTCCCCCAGAGCATAGAGCCTGGCCAGAGAGACTGGTGTGACAGTACTCATGTCAGTGGAATGAGCCTTAAAAGATGAGGAAGTGAAGCTGCCAGCCGAACCTGCATGGGGACACCTAACCTAACCGGTCGGTCGGGGGAGCCTCCTGGAGGCAGTGACCTTGAAGCTAAAGCCAACGGAGTGTGAAAGACGGTGTGAGTGAGGGCAGAGAAAGGAGGTTCTCAACCCTGGAGGCTGGCGGGCAGGGAGGGGTCTTTGGAGCCACGCTCAGGAGGTTTGATGTTTTAGGTGCTGAGGTGCTTTCGCAGCCCAGAGCATCCTAAACTGAACAAAGGAAGCGCGTGGTCACTCACTCCATCCTCTGGTGCCTACATCATGCTTTACTGTCTCAACTAAGACAGGGGTGATCATGGCAGAAGGCCCTGTGTCGAGAGCAAGCTCCGAAGAAGGGAACCTCATTGGTCACACAGACTGTCACTTCCAGTTTTCAGAGTCGAGTCTGAGTGTAGGTAAACAGACAAACAGACCATTCAGCAGCACAGTCAGCAGCTACTGCAGGCCGTTATTCTACACCTCTCTTCCTTTTCCCCTTCCTCTTGCCTCTCCCCACTTGATAGCATGCAGGGCTGTGGCTTTGCACTGTTTTGTGTTACTGATAAGAAAACGTAATCAAATTTCCACTAGAGTCGGTCTAAACAGAAAGAATGAGTCCTGGAAGAAAGACGTCCGTAAGGAGCCCTGAAAGAGGCTCCCTGGTGGTCCAGTGGTGAAGGCTCTGTGCTTCCACTGCGCAGTTTCGATCCCTCGTTGGGGAACTAAGATCCTGCATGCTACATAAGTCCTGAAAAAGAACTCATGACTTACTGGGGTTACCATGAAAAGGCCACCTTACAAGTGCGTATGGACATGGGGAGACCTAAATCAAGGTGCTAGCAGCCAGCTGGACTGGGTGTCCCTGACTGGCCTTGAGCTATATCACTTTGTGGGCTCCAGGGGTCACACCAGTTTGGTTAGAGCTAGACTGCTGCTTTCTAAGATCCTGCTGATATACAAATACAGGAATCCTTGAAGCCAGAGAGAAGAATGGCATGAAGTACAATAGAGCTTTGTAGCCACATGAGAGGTGCATGATGCCAGTGTTAGGGAGAACTTGGAGATAAGGAGGCCTGGCTTGGGCCATAAACTATAAAATAATAGCAGCTCCTGAACTGGAAGAACGGCAGTGTGTAAATTTGGACTAGGAAGGACCATGGACAGACCAGCATTGCTAACTGATCTGCTCTGTGGAGCCTGGGAAATCAAGAAACATTATGAACAAACTCTACTCTCCGCACAGAGGCACCTCACAGAGGTGCTCATGTGAGCCACACAGCTCTCTGTCTGAAATGGCAGGGGTCTGTCTGCCTGGGAGTCTTTCCCCGTGGGGTCACGTTTCTGTTTCTGTCCTCCATTTCCTTGAAGCCTTCACCCAGTTACTTCCTGGTCCTTCCATTTCAGCTGGGCTGGGAGATGGGTGTTCCATTCTCAGAGGGCCCCTTGGGGCCTTGCCCAGGGAGTTTCATATATTCTACAAAGTTCGTATCTGAAGTGAGACCATCCCAAAACTTATATCCAGCTATCTTGAAAATCTATCCTGTTTGTGTGTTATGGTAATAGACAAAAACTTAAGTTTTCCAGAAGAAAGAGACATATTTCAATATTCTTAGTATTATTTTGCGTTATATCATTTTGTACAAGGGCAATGCCATAACTCATTTTGAACTGTTGCATTTCTTGGCTTTTATATACCCAGCTGATTTTAGAGGGCTATCATGAGGATAATGGTAGTTTTGGGTAAAGATTAGGAACAAGGACACGGGAGTCTGACTGTGCCCAAATCCCAACTCTGCTACTTGCTGAGAATATCACCTTGGATGAGGTTACCTGGGAATGGGGCTGAGTACTCACAATCGTTGTGATGCATGAAAGTCGCTTATCACATAATAGTGTGGGAGCTGCCGTTATGTCTGGGCTGTGCTTAGTCACTCAGTTGTGTCCAACTCTTTGCAACCCCACGGACTGTAGCCCGGGATCCTCTGTCCACGGGGATTCTCCAGGCAAGAATACTGGAGTGGGTTGCCACGCCCTCCTCCAGGGAATCTTCCGTGGATTGAACCCAGAGATTGAACCCAGGTCTCCTGCATTGCAGGTGGATTCTTTACCACCAGGGAAGCCCACTATTATGTCTGAGAGTTGCATTTTTATGATCAGTCCTGTTATTTTGACTAATAAAAGTACTGTCAGAGCCACATCAAAGAAATTGCTCCCAAGTGATCTCAACCAAGTAGCTTACCTTTCCTGGATTAGATGATGAACATAGTAGGACTAATCAGCTGTTCCACAAGCATTTCTTCCCTTCATACTGCCTGGGCTCCTTGCCGGTGATGGGAGTGCCTTTGACACATGCCACAGAAGTGAATGTTTCTGAGTCCCTAACTGCGCTGACATAGGCTTACAGAATAAAGAACCCTTTTAAAATGAGCAACATTTAAAAAATCCCTTTTGGAAACTTGAGGCTTCCCTGGTGGCTCAGATGATAAAGAATCTGCCCACGGTGTGGGAGACCTGGGTTCAATCCCTGAGCCGGGAAGATTTCCTGGAGAAGGGAATGGCTACCCACTCCAGTCTTCTTGCCTGGAGAATTCCATGGACAGAGGAGCCTGGCGGGGTCAAAAAGAGTCAGACATGACTGAGTGACTAACACTTGAAGCCTAAGTTTCTTGATTCCAGATTTACTGATGAGAATACTCTAAGGTGATCCATGATTCTCAGTAGTGGCTGGTGGCCACCCAGGTTCAAAGGTAGGCAAATTGTTCAGTCTTTCTGTGCTGCACTCTCCTTATTTGTGAAATGGGAGTAATAATAAATAGCACATCTACCCGCTGGGTTGTGTGAGGACTAAACAAAGTAAGCCATGTTGAACGCTTAGCCCTCAAAGTAAACTGGCGTTAATAATTGTCTTTATTAATAGTGCTTGTGCTCTCTTCACAGACGGAGCTTATAATGGATGCTGCCCATAAACAAAAGAGCTTACAATTCAAGAAAACCATGGATGTAAGTCTTACTATATTGCTTTTTAAAAAAATGGTGGCATTTTATGAAATCCTGTGCTGTGTATCAACATTTTCCTGAAAATAACATTTGTGCAGTCTTTTAGAGAAAACAGCCTTTAGTGGTGTGACTTTCTTTCCTTTTAATGCCTTGGAAAGATTGAGGATGAAATTAGAAGAAATATAATGATGTTATCTTTCCAGCAACCTGGGAAAATATAGCAAATCAACTTAAATATTTCAGACCAGGGCATGTATACTATATGATACCTTTCATCTTGTTGGATTTGAACTTCTTCCCTGTAAGACTGTTTTGAATCTTGATTTCTTACCTATTTTTATTGAGTTTTAAGATACCTGCAAAGTGTAAAAGCCTTCTTTGCTTTAAGTAATTTATTTTAAAAATGCTTATCAAGATAGAACTGAGACAAGTTGTTGGGATCTCACACTAGCTTTTCATGAATCCCCTACTGTTGAATTGTGTTACTGGAACATCTGTGACTCCATCTTTGTACAGAAGTGTCATCATATATCCTGTGACTGTGACATCATACCTGGGTAGCTGGTCAAAAAAGAAAATGCCACTAATGTTGATGGCATATGCAGTCTATTCTGCATTTTTTCTTTTGTCGGGGAAGTGTGAAATTTCCTTGGTTCTGTCTTGCCACAGCAAAGATTTGAAATGGAAGACCAGTGTTACAGCTTGGTTACAGCTCAGAGTTTTATTCGGCAAGCAAAGTAAAGTACACTCTCAAGGCATGAAGGCGGGCTGACCCCAAAGGAGAGGCCTCAATCTGTCTTGGCTTCTTCCTTTTGTATGTTTGTCTCCTCCCCATCTTGAGCCTGCCCTATGCAAATTGGGTTAGCCAAGAACGGGGCGTATTTGTTTCACCTGAAGTTCTCACTCCAGTCTGCAGATATTCTTTTATTCCATTTTTGCGGGCTTTTCTCTTTCTTTCGTCTTTTAGCCACTGCCATTTTGGACTCCTTTTTCCTATTCTAACTACCTAACACTTTGATGCAGAGCACCCGAAAAGTGATTGATAGAGAATAATGTCAGCATAATGTAGAAAATGGTGTTGGTTGATATATGATTACTCCCAGAATTTTTATGTTTTGAGCAATCTGGGGAAAGCTCTCTCACAAAGAGAAAGTCTTATTGAAATATAAATTTCCTACTTCCTCTGCCTACATTTAGAGCTGTAGAATTGTTAAAATTTTTGCTTCAACTGTCAAAAATTTAGAAAATACAAGAAGAAAAAGGAAGAGCATTGTATTTGCCCATTTTTTGCTTAGTGGTTTTTTTTTTCCCTTCTTCTAATGTTTGAAGGTTTCCTTTTATAATTTTTTTTTGCTTAGAGAACTTCTTCAGGCATTTTTTTAAGGTAGGTCTGCCAGTGATAACTACTCTTGTTACCGAAAACACCAAGTCCATGTGTCTGACACACAGTGAGGGCAAACAATACTAAAACGTTGGAGTTTGGAACAAAGGTTTATTGCAGGGCCATGCAAGGAGATGGATGGCTCATGCCTTAACCCCAAACTTCCTGAAAGCTTTTAGCAAAGCCCTTTTACAGGACAGGTGAGGGAGGGGTATGGTTAGTTGTAGCAAACTTCTGGGTGTCAGATCCTTTGTTCTTGAAGTCAGGTCATGGTCAGGTAACAATGTGCCTGTAAATTTCTGCCAAACAAATGTTATTCTCTGCCCTGACAAGAAAGGGCAGGGTCCCAAGGCACAACTTTCACCCACCAAGGTCCCGGTCCTGGCTAAGAGGAGGCAGATCTCAGTCGGCAGCTCCCTCGGGGCCAGGTTCCCACACCTTGCCCAGCTATCATCACTGAGGGGGCTAGGTGTCCAAACCAACTGGCCCTCAGGCTCCTCGGGCTGCCCAAGGGGGCGGGCAGGTCCCACAGACTGTGACGCACACAAACTTCTGCTGATACTAGGTCACAGAGACAAGGATGGGGGAGAGGTTCAACACTGCTTCAAGGCCTGGGCCAAGGCTAGTGGGTGGCCTTGGTGAGGGCTTTTGAGCCCTGCATGACACAGTCCTCAGCCTGTTTCCCTGGTCCCCCATCACCCACTGGCCCAAGACCAGGGAGCAGGCTGGAGGGCCCAGGGGAGCAGGCAAGCATCTGCCTCTTACTTCACGCTCCACCTGATGACCACTGCCCTGCTGACCGCTGGCTGGATCAAGTCCCTAATGGTCTCTCATTGACAGTTGGTTGCTTGTGGGAAGGGCCCACTGTGGTGCTGGCCAATGGCTGAGCAGGGTCCGTTGCCTGGTAACAGTACAGAGTAATGATCCACAGTAATGTCTGTGTGCTAAGGGCTGCCCACGCTACGCTGTTACACTCTTAGTTTTCCTTTAGTGATTTCCCTTTCATTCTTGAAGGATATTTTCCCTGGATATAGGATTGTGTGTTGACAGTTTCTTTTAGTACTTGAAAAATGTTGCATCACTTCCTTGTGACATCCATAGTTTCTAATAAGAAAACTGCTATAATTCAAACTAATTTTCTTGTATGGATAAGGTGTCATTTCTGTTTTAAGATATTTTCCTTTTTTTTAGTTCTCAGAAGTTCACCTCTGTGTCTTATCATAGATTTCTTTGGCTTTATCTTGTTTTCAGTTTGGTCAGTTTCTGGAATCTGTAGTTTTATATCTTTTGCCAAATTTGGCAAGTTTTCAGCCTTTATTTCTTTAGGTACTTTTTCAGGCCACGCTCCTCTCCTAGGATTCCAAGGACATGAATGTTAGATCTTTTGTTATGGTGTCAAAAGTTCATGAGGCTCTGTTCATCTTTTTAAACCTGTTTGCTCTTTTTTTCAGATTAGATAATTTCTATCATATTGTCTTCCAGTTAACCAGTTCTTTTTTCTGTCTCTTCCATTCCTAAGTCTATCCTTTCAATTAGTAAATTTTTCAGTTCTAAAGTTTCCATTTTGTTCTTATTTATTCCTTCTGTTTCTTTGCTGGGATTTTCTTTTTCTTTGCTAAGACTGTTTTTTTTTTTCATCTTCCCACTGTGTTTACAAATGTTTATTGATTTTTATCATTTTTATGATGCCTGCCTTAAAATCTTTGTCAGATAATTGTAACATCTCTGTCATCTTGATATTGAAATTTCTTTTTTGTGTGTGATTTTTTTTTTCCATTTATTTTCATTAGTTGGAGGCTAATCACCTTACAACATTGCAGTGGTTTTTGTCATACATTGAAATGAATTAGCCATGGATTTACATGTATTCCCCATCCCGGTCCCCCCTCCCACCTCCCTCTCCACCCGATCCCTCTGGGTCTTCTTGATGGTCTTTTTTCATGCAGTTTGAGATCCTCCTGGTCCTTGGTACGATGAGTGATATTCAACTGATATTGGACATTTTATATATTCTGTTGCAAGACTCTAAATCTTATTCAAATCTTCTGTTTTAGCTGCCTTACTCTGATACCACTCTAGCGGTAAGGTAAAGTGCCACCACATTAGTGCTATGAGGGGGTAAAATCCAGGTTCCTTCCCACCACCCCCCAGCCTCCACTGACACCACAGGGTCAGTGTTACTACTGGGGAGTGGTTAAAGTTCTTGCTCTCCACTTAACCACCTCTGACGCCACTGCAGCAGGGAGGGGTGCACCTCATCACTGCCAGGTGGGGATGGTGAAAGTCCAGGCTCCTCAGAGTCTCTGTTGGCTCTGTGTGTGCTGCTTGGTTATCTCCAGGTAGGAATGAAAGTCCAAGTCTGATATTTGTCCTCCTCTGATACCATCTCAGCAGGGGAGTTGGGAACCTCATCATAGCCTGGTGAGTGTGGAAGTCCCCGCTTGGCCTTGGCTGGATGTGTGGTGGGTGGAAGAGGGCACAGTTCTTCACGTGGCATTTGGCTGCTGTAGAACCTGGAGGAGCCTTCCTGTCCTGCTGTGCTGTCCCTTTCCTGGCCTTTTGGCTGGAGAGAGCGGGTGTCCCTTGGGACTATTTTTTGTTCATGCCCATCAGCATTTCTTGGTTGTCTGCTGCTTTGGCACCCATTCTGTGATAAATGAGGCCAAAAGAAAACTCAGGGCACTTGCTTCTAGGTTACTGTCTGAGACCAAGGACATTAGTCAATCTGTCTTCTCTCTGCCTTTTAGCGTCTGTGTTTGTTTTATGTAGAATGCTCAGAGGTTTTAGTTATACTTGTGTGGAGGAATAGGGAAGAGTCTGCTCTATCTGCTCTATCTTCCCTGGAGCCCATATACATTTTTAAAAAGACATTTTATGATATGCTTTTAGAGTCATAAATGTGATCATACCCCATCCATTTTATGCAAAGAATCTAAGACTATAAAATCATCCAAAATGAGAAAAACAAAACAAAATGCACTACGATGTTCAGTACTTATATGAAAACTGTAAGTGACTTAATGACCAAAAAATGGAGAAAGATTAAATTGTACAACCTTGAGACCTGGAAGTTGGAGAGAGTGGAGCCGAGGTCCCCGAGCGGCGCCTGTTTCCTTCTAGGACCTCTGAAGACTTGTGTTGCCTGAGGAAGCCCTGAAGTTGAGGAAGGGGAAAGAAAAGGAGTCAGGCATGGCTCTTTCTCAGGAACGACTGACCTCTGAGGATGTGGCCATCGAATTCACTCAGGAGGAGTGGGAATTCCTGGACCATGCTCAGAGGGCCTTGTACAGGGATGTGATGCTCGAGACCTACAGGAACCTGCTGTCTGTGGATATCTCTCCTATACATGTGATCAAGCATTTACAACCCAAAACGAACAGTGATAAACAAGAACCATTCCAAACATTGATGCTGGGAAGACCTGAAAGCTGTGAAATAAAACATTTTCATCTTTGGGAAAGTCCGGAAAGTATGTGTGACATTGAGTGTCACGGGAGAGATGACAAAAGAAATTACAAAGGAACACCTGTAAGCCTTGATGGAAATGTGCCTGATGGAAGAGATTCACATGATAGAAAGGATGCAGGAATCAAGCCCTTTGGAAACAGGCTTGGATTTAACTTTCAAGATAAACTGCAGATATTTCAAACTGGCGGGACAATTTCTGAATATAATGAAGTTGAGAGGTCTGTCAACAACAGTTTCTCATTCTCACCACTTCAAAGAATTCCTCCTTGTGTCCAAACCAGTGTTTCTAACATATATGGGAATGATTTCATGAATCCTTCAGTAATAACACAAGACCTCAAAGCACACAGGGAAAAACCTTACAAATGTGATGAGTGTGGGAAAGCCTATCTTGAGGGCTCATGCCTCATTAAACATCAGGCCATCCATATAAGAGAGAAATCACATAAGTGTGAAGTATGTGACAAATTGTTTGATCAAAGTCCACAGCTTGCACGTCATTTGAAAATTCATTCTGAAGTGAAATGTTACAAATGTAATGAGTGTGGCAAAACCTTTAATGATAGCTCCACCCTTGCTAGACATCAGATAATCCACTCGGGAGCAAACTTACATAAATGTGATGTATGTGGTAAAATCTTTGGTCCGAATTCATTCCTTGGAAGTCATCAGAATATCCCTGCAGGAAAGAGAAGTTACCAATGTAATGAGTGTGGCAAAACCTTTACTGACAGCTCAAACCTCAGGAGACATCAGAAAATTCATACAGGAAAGAAATTGTTTAAATGTGATATATGTGACAAAGTCTTCAGCCGAAATGCACACCTTGCTGGTCATCAGAGGGTTCATACTGGAGAGAAACCTTACAAATGTAATGAGTGTGGCAAGCACTTCAGTCAACCTTCACAGTTCATGAGTCAAAAGAGATTTCATACTGGAGAGGAACCTTACAAATGTGATGAGTGTGGCAAGGCCTTTCGTGTAAAGTCAGTCCTTTTAAGTCATCAGACCGTTCATACTGGTGAGAAACCTTACAAATGTGATGAGTGTGGCAAGTTCTTCAGTCGAAATTCACACCTTACAAGTCATCGGAGAATACATATAGAGAAACCTTTCAAATGTTTCAACTGTGGAAAATCCTTTACTCAGGTCTCAGCACTCACTAAACATCAGAAAATCCATACATGAGAGAAACTTATGTGAATGTGGTATATGGTAGAAGTCTTCAAAATTCAAAGTTCAAACTTCACTCACTACTGTTGGTCAGAGAATTCATACTACTGAGGAACTATACAAATATCATGAGTGTGGCAGCGTCTTAACTTGATGAGAAAATTCATACTGGATAGAAGCCAGATATATATGTGTTTATTAGTCAGGTTAGAACATGTCAGGTAGAACATGAATTCATTCTAGAAAGATTCCCCACCAGTTTCACAAATGTGAAAAAAAAACCCTATCCTCACATCTCACATCTCGCCAGTAGTATCAGAGTATTTATCCTGGAGAAAACACACAGCAATGTAATGTGTGTGGCAAGGATCTTACCCAAAAGTCACAAGAGAGGAACATAGTGGAGCCATACTTCCCAGGCTCAGTGGTTGTGGCAAATCCTTTACCTTTTTCACTATATGTATTCTCTGATGACTTCAGTTCAGGTACTCAGCAACTGCAGTAAGTCCATATTTGAAGAGAAGCTATAGAGATCTTTTCGTGTAAAAGAAACCCGAATTCTAACTCAGCAAAGTTGATTCTTTGGGACAGTAGTCCACCATCTTTTTTGGTGTCTGGGCTTTCTGAATAAAGTCACTATTCCTTGCCCCCCCCCCCCAAAAATAAATAAATTGTACAACCTTTAAAGATATGATTATGAGGACTATGTAGCAACAGAGAAAAAGTCCCTAATATGACATGTTAAAAAATAATACAGAAAAGAGAAAGATTGATCACTGACAGCCTTAAAATTTAAGACTTCTTTAGAGCAAAAGAAAAAATATCATATGGTGAGAGATGACATGGGAGAAAAATATTAGTACCACATGGGGCTTCCCAGGTGGCACTGGTGGTAAAGAACCCTCCTGCCAATGCAGGAGACATAAGAGATGTGGCTTTGATCCCTGGGCTGGGAAGGCCCCCTGGAGGAGGGCATGGCGATCCACTCCAGTATTCTTGCTTAGAGAATCCCATGGACAGAGAAGCTGGGCAGTCTACAGTCCATAGTGTCGCAAAGAATTGGACATGACTGAAGTGACTTGGCACGCATTAGTAACATATAATTTACAGCCAGTTGGAGAAGGAAATGGCAACCCACTCCAGTATTCTTGCCTGGAGAATCCCATGGATGGAGGAGCCTGGTGGGCTACAATCCACAGGGTTGCAAAGAGTCGGACATGACTGAGTGACTTAACTTAACTTAGTGTTACTAGTATAGCCTGAGCTTTTAAAAATCAATTAAAATTATAATGCTCCAAAAAAAAAAAAAAAGGTAAAAGACATGGAGTAGAAAGGATATGCCACCTTATCAATGAGGTAAAATGCAAATTAAAAAGGGATAAGCTTCTAGTATTAGAAAAGGTTAAAAACATTGTCTTATTTTAGTGTTGGTGAGAGTATGAGGCCATCATACCCTCACATATGTGTTTATAGGAGTATAGATAAGGGCAACCATTTTGGAGGCAAGTATGTATATATTCTTTTATCAAACAATTATGCTTCTAGGAATTTGGTCTGTAAATTCACACTACCCACAGTAAAAATTGGAGTGTTTTTATGTAATAAAAATAGAAAATAGGATAAATGTCCACCAGTAAACAGTAGGTTAAGAAAATTATGGCATATATATATTATATATATATGTGTGTGTGTGTGTGTGTGTGTGTTAACCCCAATTGAATTGCAGGGGAAGCTGAGAAATGTAGGAAAGCATGTGAGATATTTGACGAGCACAAACCAGCTCTGCAAAGGTGTCTTCATTCTTAGTCATGCGTTTTTGGGGGGTTTGTCATTTTTTATTTATTAGCCAACTGACTCACAGCTTTGCTTTGTTTGAACAAGTTAAGTCTTTGCTTTAAGGGTTGAAACACAATTATTTGATTCAGTAAGTGTACTTTGTGAACTGATTACACACTGCTGATAGTAATGGTAGCACAGGAGAGACCACGCCTACTTTTAAACTAGTGAAAACAGAATTCTTTAAATCAAGAAGGTGCATGACCACCTTGCGCTACAGAAATTATGAGATTGGTGCCCTCCCCCCTGCCCACATGCTGTGATGGGGCACATGAGAATACTGAACCATTGTTAGTTACAGTTATCAGGACCAAGTCATTGCATCTCAGTTCTGAGTGTAATGAATAAATGTTGGATTACACATCCTCTAGTCACATCAGCATTTGATTTTGCCTAATTCATATTCAATCTTTTGTGTCAGTAAATTTTTAAAGTTCATGGACTTTGTTTTTGCCAAAGAGGAGTTGTTAGTTCCTCGATCAGGTTGCCACTACATACATAATTTGGAAAGGGGATGGAGAAACCTTCCTAAGAGAAAAAAGAGCATCTGCTCTGAGCACACAGAGTCTGGAGGAGATCACAGCCCTAGTCAGTGTGCCCACTTATTTGCTGGGTCGGGGGGGGGTTGGTTAGGGTGGCAGCTCCTCAGAGTCACAGTCAGCTGATCTGTTTTGATCCTCTTTTGTCTCATACCGGCAAAGGCAAAGAAGAATTACGAGCAGAAGTGCCGAGACAAAGATGAAGCAGAGCAGGCTGTCCACCGCAGTGCCAACATGGCAAACCCGAAGCAACAAGAAAAGGTACCCGGGAGATCCAATAGCCTGAAAAATCCAAGATTCACATATGTCAAGCTAGAGCTAATTAATAATCTTAACAACAAAAAAAATGGACTTGCACTCTAAGCTTCTGGCAGTACCCTCCTTCAGGCTATTAGAATCCTCTGAGTCAGAAAAACCCATGTCCTATTTTGAGGGTTAGGAAAGAGCTAGAGAAACCTGGTCATGGGGGAGGGGTTCTGATGTTTTCATCTTTCTTCACAGCTCAGCTCATGTGTTCCTTATAGTGAGGCTGCCTCCTGCTTGGGTGTTTTATAAATTGAATTTTATAAAATCTGGATAAAGATTGTTAGCAATCAGAAGGTAGGGATATGTTTTAGGAAGATTAAAGGGAAAGTTAAATGATTAACATACAAGAGAAACATAGGTATGACTTAGAACTTGTCTCTTTACAGACATTGCTTTTAAACCTGTTTTGCCTTTAGAAGCTTGGCCCAGCATTCCTGACTTCTTCTTCTTGTTTTTTTTCTGGTCCTCACAGCTTTTTGTGAAACTAGCAACTTCAAAGACTGCAGTAGAAGACTCGGGTGAGGGGTGTGCTCCCACAGATGGGGAAGGATGGTGGTGGGGCTAAATATGTCTGAGAAAGGTAGTTTTATATACCTTATGATAGTGAATATATGCTTGTACCATAGGATTAGCAAGGTATTCGAAGGGAAGAAGGGAGGGACAGAGGGAAGGAAGGGAGTCTGGGAAGGGGGTACATTAGAACCTTGGAAAGTGGGACAAGCAAAAGAGGCAGCAGTTTCTGACCCCTGCCTGCTTGGCTCATGGTGCCTGACAGGTGACTGAATGGCGTGGGAGCGTGGAGGGGTTGGGTCATGTGATAGCTGCTTTGAAATCAGGTACTCACTCTTACTTGTCTGGTACGATCATCTTAAAACCCCATTTCATCCCTGATACGTCTTCTCCGCTGTGAAAGAAACAGCCAAGTTGTGAGGTCTTGTCATCACTGAAATCTAAGGATCCAAACCCAGAGTTTGCAAAGGCTTCTAATTCCCAGAGTTTCCTGCGAGAGACCAACCTCTCACGACCGTGGTCCCTTAAGTCTCTAAATCCAAAACTGAAGTAACTTGCTAGTTCACTTTTCTGCCTGCCTCACTTAATTTTCCTCAAAATGGAAAGAGGTAGAGGGAAACTCTGGTGAGGTTTTTTTTTTGTTTGTTTCTTTTGTCAGCCTTTAGTTCTCTTTCTTTGGAACATTTCTGGCTGAGTGTTTGGTTTCTCTTTAAAAAGAAAGTGATGCCCGCCTTTGCTTATTTTTCACAAAGCTGTGATGAGGGTGAGATGTAACTTTGGCCTTCCAGCCTTCAGCGTCCCCAGGAGCCCTGTGAGCTCTCGGGAGGGGCCTGGGAGCTGGGCCTGCGAGCCCCGCTCAGCCCAGTTTCCAGACCCAGGCCCCTCCCCTCCGTTGCAGACAAGGCGTACATGCAGCACATCAACACGCTGGACAGGGTCCGGAGCGAGTGGCAGAGCGAGCACATCAAGGCCTGCGAGGTACCGGGAAGCGCGGGGGCGGGTCTTCCGCCCTCTACTTTTGTAGAATTGCTCGAAGGCAAGTTAGGAATCTGGGCTTTAAGTAGAGGAGGGAAGGAACTGGAATGTTTTCCCGCAAACCTTGTCTTTCTTTCTAGTGGTTCTCAAAAGGAGGTCCTGGAACCTGTACCAACATCCTTGTTAGATAAAGATCTTATTATCAGACCAATTCCAGGCCCCTGGAATCAGAAGCTCTGGGCCCACAATAAGTGGGTTTTCTCAAGTCGAGGCGAATGGGGGCCATTCCCTAGTTTGTGGTGCATGGGCTTCTCTTGTTGCAGAACACAAGCTCTGGAGGGTGTGGGCTCCAGTAGTGGTGGCTTGTGGGCTCCAGAGCGCAAGCTCAGTAGTTGTGGCACACAGGCTTAGCTGCCCTGCGTCCTGTGGGATCCTCCCAGATCAGGGACTGACTTAACATTGCAAATTCTGCATTGCAATGAGTCTTGCGTTGCAAAGCGGACCCCCAACCACTGGACCATCAGGGAAACCTGAGGGCGAAACTTTGCATCGGAGGCTCTAGCAAGCTGCCCACATGCAGATGTCCATTAGGCAGTTGGAAATGTGAGCCACAATTCAGGTTAGAACACTGACGGCTGGGTTCACCATCACCTCTTATGTACAGAACTGTATCCAGTCCTATTTGTGTTAGTATGTTATTAAAATCCATTTGCCAGAGTTAAGAGTGTCTGAGCTTCCTCAGCGGTGGGTGGGGAGTACACTAGATGAGACTATAAGCTTACAGATGATTAAAGGTTGGAATTGTTTCTGACATCATAGTCAGTCTAGACCCTTTCTCTGTATGTCTGTATGTGTTTCTACAGGTGTTTGAGACTCAAGAGTGTGAACGAATAAACTTCTTTCGAAATGCACTGTGGTTACATGTGAATCAGCTCTCACAACAATGTGTCACAAGCGATGAGGTGAGTCAGAGGCATCCACAGAGGATGCTCTGCATATTAGAATAGTAGAGTGGGAGGAATCAGAGACATTTGTTAGTTCATCCCCCGTCATTAGAGGCCAGGTAGGTACAGTGACTGCATCCACAGTGAGTATGGACCCAGGTGTTTACCTGACTTGGCTGACTCCTGCCTCACTTTACCATCATGAGTCTCTCACTAAGATATTCAGAATTAGGGCAGGAGGAGCAAAGAAAGGAGACCCAAATGCAGTTTAATTTATGGAAAACAGAGATGTCACAACATGAATGGGAATCCCAGGGACTGCTCCAGTCTGGAACGGAGTTACTCCAGGACACTAAGTATCAGGAACTAGCAGGCTGAGCCACACCCAGGCTAATGGTCACTCCAGGGCTCAGGGTTTAATGTCAGCAGTGGTAAGGGCCATTAGTGACCCAGGTTTAACTCATGCACAGCAACTGTCCTGGGTTCCCAGCTCTCAGAGGGACCAGAATCAAATTTTCACAACCTTCTTTCCTGAGAAATAGCCACTCTCACTTAGATGGGACATTCACTTTTGAAAAATAGTTAAATACCCAGAAAACAGGTAGGATTGACTGCAGAACTTTTCTCCAGTTGTCTTTGCACTTGTGTGTAGGATTAGTCATGGAACTTGGTATCTATTCTCTTCATCCCATCCATTTTTTAAAGTCTTTCTGCCAAGGTTGCTGTGCTGCCACAAAGATATTATTTTTTGTCATCTTTAAAAAAATGTAATAGCAGATATACACCAGAGAAGTCCCTCTGTGTGAGTCCAGGATGTGGGAGTCTTTCTTTTTTTTCTTTTCAAGACAAAATTTGGAACATAGCCATTCATCAAACCTCCCACTTTAATACTCCACGCCACCATTTTTATGGATGTACCTCTGCCTTGATTTATCTTCTCTTCTGTTAGATGTATGAAGAAGTCCGTAAGAGTTTAGAGATGTGCAGCATCGAGAAGGACATTGAGTACTTTGTGAATCAACGCAGAACTGGACAGACTCCACCAGGTGAATGGGGTGGTAGGCTGGGGGATGTTATTTAAGCAATTCTGTCAGTCTTTCGTGTCACATGTCATTGAGAATGGAAGTCGTCAGCTTCTTAATGTTTTATATCTTGATGATTCCATAGCCCCCATCATGTACGAGAATTTCTACTGCCCCCAGAAGAATGCAGCCCCTCCAGGAAAGGCTACAGGGTCTAACTCGGCACGGTAATATCCAGCTTTCTTTCACATGAAGATAAGTGCTTTTAGGGACTTCCCTGGTGGTCCAGCTGGTTAAGAGTCCACACTTTCACTGCAGGGAGTTCACATTTGATCTTTGGTTGGGGAACTAAGATGCCACATGCTGCAGTGAAGCCAAAAAAAAGAAAAGTACTTTTAATGAGCATTTTTATTTTTAGTGTTCCAATTCTAATATGGACATGTTAGAATCAGAATCTGTCTACCATTGCATTTGCTTAGAGAGGTTTCTGGATTTTTGGAAATAGCATTTTTAGGACAAATGTTAAATGGATTGTACTAGTCATAGTTCAAGGAGGATTGTGTCATGCTTGAGTGTGATTATTATTACTCATGCATGAATGCTATACTTTTCTATTAATAATATTTATTGATTTTTACTTATTTATTTATTATTTATTTGGTTGTACTGGGTCTTACTTGCGGCACACAGGATCTTTAGTTGAAGCACCTAGTTCCCTGACCAGGGATTGAACCTAGACTCCCTGCATTGGGAACTCGGAATCTTAGCCATTGGACTGCCTGGGGAGTCCCAATCCTAGACCTTTCTTGTAGAAAGCAAGAGTTGGCAAACTCTGGCTCCCTGTGAGTCAAATCCAACCCCCTGTTTTGGTAGGGCCTACAAGTTAAGAATAGTTTTCATATTTTTAAATGGTTGAGAAAAATTGAAAGGAAACTATTTTGTGCTATGTGAAAATTACATGAAACAAGAACATCAGTGTTCATATGTAGAGTTTTGCTGCACCCATCTGTTTCCTTTCTGTCTATGGCTACTTTTATGTTGGAGATGAGTAGCATTGAGATAGAAATGTCAGATGGCCAGCAAAGCCTAAATCATTTACTATCTGGCCCTTTACAGAAAAAAATTTGCTGCCCCTGATAGAAAGGATTCTGAGGGAAGAGAAACTTCTGTTTTACCTACAGTCACCCTGAACTCTAAGCTCTTGAATTTTCAATCCAATTTTTTAAAAGATAGGGGAGTGTTTGAGTGGGGAGAAAGCCAAGCGCAGGACTTCCCTGATGGTTCAATGGTTAAGAATCCACCTCCCAATCCAAGGGACAGGGCTTTTAGCCCTGGTTGGGTAACTAAGATCCCACATGCCGTGGGGCAACTAAATCTGCGTGCCACAACTAGAGAAGCCTGTGTGCCACAACAAAGACCCAGCGCACCCAAACACATAAATAAATAATAAATATTTATGAAAAAGAATGCTAAGTGCTGCTCAAAGCAGTTACTATGAATTGTTTCCTTTAACCCTCAAGGCGAGGTGGGAGCTGTTTGACTTCCCGTTTTGCACGTGAAAACTGCCCAAGGCGATCAGGAACTCTGGCCCACACTACAGATTTCTGGACTGCGGAGCAGAGCTCTGGGCATCCTGCTCCCTAGCATAGGGTAGTATTTGCAGCCTAGATCCAGGAGGTCAGCGCTGCAGAGCTTTTGTTTCATCTGAAGTCTTCTTAACCTTCCAGAACAGAAACCTGATCTGACTAACATGCAGTATGTTTGTAGAGTGAAGTAGAAAATTAGAAAAGCAGCAAGAGCTTATCTGAAAGATTTTGGTTTCCCTTTCTTACAGGAGAGGACCTCTCCCAAATCCTAAAAGTTTACCAGGTACGCCACCAAGAAGCATCATTTGAAATCTTAGGTCAGGTTTTGTTTAAGGTTGAGTAGCTAGAATTTTGAAATAAAAGAAATAAAAGGAGAGAAGGGAATAAATAGAATCAAATTTCCAAGAGAATGAACATACTAGAAACTATAATACTCTTTTTCAGAGTGGAATTTGGTAATTTGTTGTCTGTTTTATAGCTTATCCAAGACAATTCAGCTACTCAAGTACCAAAAGAAACTTGTAAGGGATTTTTACTAAGAGACCAGTTCAACTTAGGCCATGAAAATGGCAAAACTGAAATATAGTTTCCTTTGGATGACACTGAAATATAATTTATAGAAGATGTCTAGAAACTTATAACCTAATATATTTTGTGCACTGCCCACAGTTGGATCTTTCACGAATCACTCTGGTCTCCTTTTCTCTCTGAACTCCTATAATACTTCTGGGACAACCAAATATTTAGTGCTTTTTGTTAGTCTGTATTCCCTGGGTAATTACAAGATCCTTGAAGGCAGAAATTTTGTTTTCTTCTGAATCAATCACAAAATGTAACACGGTACTGGGCACTTAGTCAGTACTGAGCAAACACCTATTATTTAAATAAAAGATATACCTATCTATGTTCAAGGGAAGAGGGAGGAGACATCTTAGGCTGCATTTAGCATCTTAGCAAAAATTAAGTGGCTGAAATTACATCTTGGAACTCTGTAAGGATGTAAGTTAATTTATTTCTCATAACCTTTTAATTACCACTTGATAATAGGGGACTTATTTTTGTCCATTTCTGAAGATGATTTTACTGTGGGGAATGATAGCTGGGCAAGGATGAACAAGGGCAGAGAAATTATAATAGAAATTTCCAGTATGTTTTCTGGCTTGTAGTTATGACTATTATTTATAGGTTTTGTTGCCAAATATGTTTTCTTCGTACAAAATAGCAGCCACCAGCCTCTGAGTGGAATGGTTTGATTTGAAAAGGGCTAAGATCTTATCATGAAGAAATGTTAACTTGGCGTTCCTCTGTGTTCTGCCCTTTGCAGATGATCCTGATTACTGTTTACTTGATAATAACTACAGTTTGGTCTATCAGTAACATCAGTGGTAAGAACCTTTCATCGTCACAGAATCAAGTTGCATTTAGACTAGTGACTGTAGTTTTGAGGTCTTTGAAGCTTCCTTACAATATGACTGCAAACAAACAATGCCTTGCATCAGGTCTTGCACGGGTGGGCATGGTGCACTCGCAGAATGGCCAGTCTGGTTCCCACAGCTGAGAGGGGACCAAGACCATTCCATACTTATTTTGAATGAGGACATTTCCCCTTTATTCTTGAACTCTTTATTTGCTCTTGTTAATCTCTTTTGTGGCTATTGCACACCTATACTTAAGGCCCTGCTACAAACAAATATGGGCTTCCCAGGTGACTCAGTGGTAAACAATCCACCTGCCAATACAGGAGACACAGGTTCGATGCCTGGGTGGGGAAGAAATCCCATGGGCAAGAGCATCATCGCGCACCAGATGACTAGTGCTCTGACCTCATTAGTAAAGCACAAAGGCTCCTGGAGCGGAACTGCTAGGCCCACAGTGGCTGCAAAGGTGATTCTTCCTGTATGGCACGCAGGTGCTGGCATTGGCACTCAACATGCCCAAGTCAATATGAACTGGAAGGAATGTCTCTGAAGCCAAAACAACATTACCAAATGAAACTCCTCATGAACTGTAATTCTTTTAACCCAAATGGGCATATACATGTATATATGAGCAAAGAAAACCTCTGAAAAGATATCTTCCTAAACAGATAATAGGTTTTCTTTTCATCTATTCATGTGTGTAATTTGTCTACAGTGCTAATCTATTGCTTCTTTCATTAAAACTCTTTTAAAGAGTTGATCTTGCATGTTGCTGATCTTAGTGTCTTCCTGGGAGTGACAGGAGGGGTGGGTAGGATTCAGAGAGTCACAGTGGAACTGGAAAAGTCGCTCTCCCACGCTTCTCGGTTTGGTGTTGGTGAAATTCACTGTCACTTAAGAAATAAAATCGATTAGACAGAAATACTCAGCTAGTATATTATTTATGTTTACATGTAAGTCTTTAAATTGCTTAAGAAGTATATTTAATATTTAAAGACCTTTGCTGTGAAAGATAGTGAATATTGAAGACGTAAAAATCCTCATCCTCTCACTGTATATAACTTTCTGACCTACAAACAAATTGTAGTTAGCCAGTTATCACTTTTTCATTTCATAAACCGCTCTTCCTCATGGAAGGAGGCCCAGTGCATTTTAAAGGTAGAGTAGGAGCCCAGCCCCGCCGACTGGCCCAGCAGACCCACCGCAGACCTGCCGACGGCCCGCGAATCTGCCATCCTTTTGAGTGCGCCATTTCTGGTTCATCCAGCATCGCAGCTATGAAAAAAGTGGCTCAGCAGCTCTGGCTGGAGGCCGGGCTCAATCGGGTGAAGGTTTCCCAGGCAGCTGCAGATTTGAAACAGTTCTCTCCGCAGAATGCTCAACATGACCCTCTGCGGACTGGAGTATCTTCAAGTACAAATCCCTTCAGACCCCAGAATGTCTGTTCCTTTTTGTAGTAAGATGAATCTTGACAAGGTTTTCCAAACCACTTTTCATAAATCAGTGAATATTCAAAGGAAAGCTAAATTTGAAGCCTGTACAAAAGCCTCTCTGTAACGTGCCATACTATACAAACTTCTACTTTTGTCAGTCTTTAATGTCTACCTCTCTGAATATCCATAATTTTGTTTCACAAGGGTAATTATTTTATATACACCGATGGCAGCATACAATAAAATACTTAGTATAAAAAAATAAAATAAAGGTAGAGTAGGAGCATGGGAAATCAATGACTTGGCGTTCAAAGGTGGAACCTGCTCTCTAGAATACCAGGCAGTAATGACTATATGGCAGGGTATTGGCAAGGCCACAAATTTCTTTTTTATTTTTTACCTTCCTTTCTTCCCTCCCCCTCTTCCTTTCTCTCTCATTCCTCCCTCGCCCTCCCTCCTCTCTCTTTTCTTTTCCTCCCTCCCCTGTCTTTATTTTCCTTCTTTCCTTCTTTGCTTTCTTTTTCTCTTCTGCTTTCTTTCTTTCCCTCACCTCTTTGAATAAAGCACATTCTAGCTGCTTAAAAACAGCATTTGACCCAACAACTCTAGTTCCTCAGAGCCCAAGAATTTGCTGTTTGAATGCAAGATGGCCATACCAACATGTTTACTCAAGTTAGGTCACTTTACTGGGCCTCATTAGTGTCTGTGTCAGCTCAAGGAATAGGAATCCAAATATGTAATTGACTGAAGGGAAGGATTGGGGGCAGGAGGAGAATGGGACAACAGAGGATGAGATGGCTGGATGGCATCACCCACTCGATGGACATGAGTTTGAGTAAACTCCGGGAGTTGGTGATGGACAGGGAGGCCTGGCGTGCTGCGATTCATGGGGTCGCAAAGAGTCGGACACAAATGAGCAACTGAACTGAAGAGAATTTTAAAGAGAGAGTCTACCTTTATTAATAACTTAGTTAAGTGACTTATCACAACATTTAAAATAGTTTGAATGAAACTTTGGAAATGACATTTAAATAGGAAGCTTTAAGGATTTGCATTTGTTCTGCAATTGTTGATTTTAGTTGCTATTCCTGTTTTTAATCCTAACATGTTTAGGTAAAACCAGATTATAACCTTTGAATTAAAAAATATATATATCTGGAGAAGGAGATGGCAACCCACTCCAGTATTCTTGCCTACAGAACCCCATGGACAAAAGGGCCTGGGGGTCTATGATCCACGGGGTCACAATTTAGTGACTACACCACAACAACCATAACAACAAACACACAATCAGGCAGATTATGATTCAGGGAAATAGCTTTTCATGAAAATGTGGCATAAAATGGAGAATGAAGAGACCTAGCAATGTGGAATGTAGAGTTTTGTAAGAAATTAAAATGCGAGTATAGAAAAATAGTTGTTAATATTCAAACAATAAAGTCCATGGCTAAAGGAAAAAAAAAATATATATATATATCAAAAATATATAATTTTATGGGGACTTCCCTGGCGATCTGATGGTTAAGACTCACTGCAGGGGAGCATGGGCTTCATCCCTAGTCAGTGAACCAAGATCCTGCATGCTGCTTGGCCAAAAAAATTCCATTTTTCATCACTTAAATACTCATCTCTCACTATTCGTTCTCCTTGACCAAGCACATTGTTCTCCTTGAATAAAATCACAATGTAGGAGCAGGGTGCTGATGTGAATAGTTGATGCAAATAAAATGTCTTTGTTATTTCTTTCAGAAAACAAAGCTTTTTCTGGCTGGCGTTTCTAAGGCATGGAAGGAAGCACTTAACAGCAGAATCTGTAGAAATTATGTCAATCTTGAAGACTTTGAACCCTTGCTATGATTTTTAAATATTTTTAAGTTTATGGCAGTCATTTAGTACAACTTAGTCTAGTAGAGTTCTGCAGTTTTTAAAGGTTTGTAAATTGCCCAAGACTGAAGAATTATCCTTTCCTAATCAAGTTACTAAAATTGTGTGTTTTCTACTTGATACAGGAAAGTCTTTGGATTTAAAACTTTGACTTAGGGTTTGGGGCAGGGAAGGGTGAAGAGGAGTCTGAGTCAGCAACCCGCTCAAGAAGCTCCTTTGCTTTTGAGGGCAGCGCGGTTATGGAATTTCCATGGTGACATGTACTCAGTGGTGCAAGATTCAAAATCACCTTCCTTTTTGGCTGCAATATTTAAAGGCCATCTGATAGCACTTTCTCATTTTGCAGATGAGGAAATGGGGCCCAGAAGTGTGAAATCAATCTCCCTACAGTTAGGGACAGACACAGAAGTAGAGGGCAAGCTCATCCCACATCATCGTCCTTCTAACACTTCCTGAGGCTGTGATGCTCATGTTGAAATTTAAGACACCAAATGTTTTTGCTGGCATCTTTTCAACTGAGGAGATTACCAGGGTTTAAATGTCAGATTTATTTTTATATGGCTCACTGTGTGTACTGAACTACAGAACACCATATTTAATCTAAGAAGCTATTCATTGTAAAACATCCCATTATTTATATGTCACTAAGAAAGTCAGTAGAGGAGCTGATGCTTGTGACAATGGCCAAGCCCATTGGAATTTGAGTTTCTAAAGTGCAGGGGACAATACACCCTAGAATCAATGAAATATGGTATTTTGACTCTATCCCCGAAGAGAATTTTAGACTTACAAAGCCGGTACTCAATCTTGAGTCTTCACAGAGAAGCTTTTCCTTGTTAGATCCTGGATTTTTTTTTTTTTTTTTGATCCTGGAATTTTTTAAAGTGTCAATCTTACCCTCTCACAAGTATCTGAGTCTTTTTTGGTCACCCATAAACAGCACAGAGATTGTGTACCTTGGTCTAATATTCACACTGAGTAAACAGTGCATTTTAGTTAATAACAAGTTAAAATTGCACTGGCATGGTTGTAACATTCTGGTACCACAGAGAGCAAACACTTTCCTTTTCTGCTCTGTACATAGCTTTCCCAGAAGTATAGACAAAGTGATTGAAGGAAGACTAATTATTTCCCCTTTTCACATAAGGTGCTGCTGGAAGAGGCAGCTTCTTGTCGTGGCCGGACGCTTGCATCAGCTGGATATCCTTTTGAGAAACTGAAGTTTGCAAAGGGCCATTGACTTCCCCAAACTGAACAGGCTCAAGACATTTTCCTTTGAACTCAGAACATTCTATTTTTAAGTATTTTATTTATTATTAGCAGTTCCTCAGGGATTTCAATTTTCTCTCTATTGGTCAGTGTAACTGATGTAAAATGTTTCAATAATTGAAAGTATTTTTATTCTATTGCTCTGCCAGTTTGATATGAAGTGAAATAAAGATTTTGGTGATTTGGTCTTTATTTTGCATTTTAATGTTCATTGTACCTCTCTTCCAAGCTCTATTTCACTCCTTATCACAATTTGCCAACGTTAGATCATGGAAGGACAAACTTCTAGTCAGGGAAGCCAGGCAGAGACTGGCACCATGCCACTTCCTACTAACCCTTCAGGAGCCAGGTGTAGGATCCCTTCCTTGGGGAG